CCACCTCATAAGAAAATGTTGGAACAATAAAAACATCTGGCCAGCGACCACTGCGCTCTGGTGAATCTGTGGCATCAGTGCTATCAGTCAGAAGGATTGTTTCATCTGTGCTGGTTGAAATCCGGTCCAGATCAAGTAACCTGACAACTTTAATGGATGCTGTGCCTGGCAGGTCTTCTATTTTAACCAAATTACACAATGCATTATCAAAATCTGGGTCGTGAAACTGAAGCCGAAAGTCAAAAGTCAACTTAAGCCTAGTTTTGATTTCATCTATGAGGGCCTGAACGCTGCTTGGGCGAGATGACAAGATAAGCCTTTCAGCATTATCAGTGTCAAGGATGATCCGTAGTTTCAAGCTCTCTTTTGCTTCCATCTGGAGTTGCAGTTTCTGTAACAAACAAGATTCAAATATAGTAATATTTCAAGACATGATCAGCTGTCTATTATGTCATGTATGCATTACATTTATACTATTGAAGGGCTGGGAGATCAGCTTATGTTTCAGTCCTTGTTCTTTAGTCTGACACTAGAATGAAATGTTTTGTTGTGAGAATCAGCTCATTTCCAATCTTGTAAGCAAAATGAGGGATGTAGTCAGACAACTGGCTGAAAGATTTTACACTATGACCCTTCAGTTGATGCTCTACTACTTCATATGACCTCAAGTGTTCTACATAAAAGGTTTCATAGTCTTTCAAGAGAAAATAAATGCAATTTCTGACAAGCAATATGTTCCGAATTTCTTTAAACTCTGGTAATGCAGCATATGCCCCCGTACATACAAACATGCCAATTTCAAAGTTTGTGCCATCAATGGTTACTTTTTTTGTTCCGTATACAGTGGGATTATCAGCAATGCTAGAGATCAATGATTGTGTATCTGCTGGTAATGATGAAATGTACAAAGACTCCATTTTAGATGTCTGCACAGGTTGTTTGAAAAACTTTGATGATGACAAATAAAATGCCATCATGCTTTGATGTCGTTCTGCCAACATTTTTAACACATTCTTGTAGTTGTGAGTGTCATGAATTATTTTTTTGAAAACCTTATGCTTTCCTTCAAATCTCATAGTCCAAAGATGGACTAAGGGACCAAAGCACTTTATCAAGTGCGGGTAATGCTCGATGTAATGATGCTTTGGTCTAAATCGAACATTTGGAAACACTTCCTGGAAGAGTTGCCGGTGGTCCAGTATTTTACAAACCAGATACTGAATGGTCTCTTGATTAAAAGTATGACTCATGGCAAGCTGAACAATATCCTTTAAGTCCATTAGCACTACCCAAAATTTGTCTCTTTCGGGGACTTTTGAGCCAATGAGAAGTGGTAACAATCTAAGCAGGGCATGATTCTCATGTCCGTTCCCACCAATGGTACCACGGCAAGCAAAATTTGTTGGTATTGGATGAGGGCGATCAACTTTGTCAGAATGTTGGTATGGAAAGCGCAATATTGCTCTGTTTAAGTCTTCTAAGGTAAAATATTTCTTAGAAATCAAACCTTTTATGCAATGCGCCAACTCCACAGGAACGACACCCTCAAATAGGTCGTGTAGTAGGTCAGGTGGAAAGCCTGTGATAGGATGAAAGAAGGAAAGATGATCAGAAAGAACACAACTGTTTTTCACACCATAATTTTCCTCACTGCCATTCTGAAGCTCTTGTACAAGATTATCATGAGCAACTTTTGTTCTCATCACATAATCCCCTGTAACAGCATTTTCTGTTTGCATTTCTGTTTGTTTGGCATGACAAAACCTGCAGAAATGTGTAGACCTGAAACTCTCATTAAAACCAGCAAGCCCATGGGCAGCAAGGTTATCTGCCACAACAGAGTAGTGCCTATAAGACATTCACCAAGGGTATCAATATAGACACCTACTTCTTCCAGAGTTCTGAGATCATTTAGGAGAGGTGAAAACAATTTCTTATACCCAAATAGGCGTACATCATTAGAATTGCACAAGAGAGCGAGCTGAGTGCAATGGAGAGCAGAACGGGATTTGACTGGAAAGTTTGCCTGTGTCCAATAAACTGCAAAAACCTTATGTATTTTCTTTGAAGTGCCAAGTGGCTTTGCAATTTCAAAATCATCAACATACAGTATTATTGACAGTTTAGGACCCTCTTGTGACAGTAGAACATTTTCCTGGTAGTAGGATCCATCACAAAATGATTTGAAATGTCCAGGTATCTGTGTGGGTGCCCGTTTAACTTCTTCAAGCACATCTGCTTTTTTCAACAGCAGTTGCAAAGATGTAAGAATTGGCACATACATAAAGGTGTGCTTTGAGGATTCAATTAAGTACTCCACAGGCTTGACAAATGGAAAGTTTGCTTCATAGTATGATTTTCTCCTCTTTGCTGTTGAAAGCGGTCCTTCAGATGTGATGCATTTATGTAAAATGTTACTATCAGAAACCGCCTGACAAATCTCATCAACCACTTTGTCAGTATATGGACAGGTATGTTTATTTAGTATTTCAGCAACTGTTTTTCTGATCAGTGGTTCAGATAATAAAAAAATATTATCAATATGCTCAATTATCTCCTGTGTTGCTCTCTGGGAAACATGGAGAATGCTCTGCATTTTCAAGAAAAAACCAGCCAGATTGTACTGCAACTGCTCTTCCAAACCCTCTGTACTACTGATTTCATTAGTGGATGCTTCTTCATTTTAATGTATTGACTCAGTTGAGTCAAGCTGCAAGTCATCTTGGTTTATGTTCATGACACTATGCACAATGCTTTCATCATAGTTTGTTGAATTTTGGTGGTCTCTGCATTTGTGGGCATTAAATGTCGAATAGACATTTGTTTTAAAACTGCAGTCCTTAAAAGGACATGGCACAGTTTCTTTTTTTTTTTTTATGCCCCCTGAGATGGATAAACATTTGCCTTTCAATGAATGGCTGCCTAAAGGTACACACAGGGCAACAAAATCCATAATCCATAAGAGATGGATAAGAAAGTTCTTCTCTTTGTGTAGCAGTGTGCATTCTTGACATATGTATCTTTAAAGAATTAAATGTACTAAATGTACACATGCAGTCGTTGTAGAGACAGGGTAAAGGTGAAATTGTTGAATACTGACCATGGTTAAGCCGGTAATGCTTTAGCAACATGACCTTTACTGCAGTAGAAAAACTACACAACTTGCAATTCCACATTTCTGAAAATAAAAAAGGGTCACAATTAGATATCGAACACTTTATATTACCTTCTCTGGCTGTCTTCTTCTGTTCACCACTTCTGTTCAGAGGCTGAACAGAAGTGGTGGTTATGGTCCTTCCAAGTGTGCTTCCTTTTAAATCAAACACTGCAATGCAACATAAAAAAAAAATATTGTAACATGTTAACCCAGAGCTAGCAGCACATTAACTACACCTAAAATGTTCCATGTGGATAGCAGAAACTAACTACATTTACAATTTTTAAACATCTGGTGTAAAAGAAATAAAAAACTTAAAAGGTTTGCAAAGTCTAACAAAAAAAAAAAAAAAAAACATTAATTTACTGTCATGTCTTCGGCCACGCAGTTTGAAAAAGTATGTTTCAGCACACAGTTTTAATCAAGCCGCCCCCGTTATATTTAAATATGTACAGGAGGGATTGTCTACCAGCACCAATTTATTTTCACAAACGCTGTGTTAAAAAATTCGAACAAAAAAAATGCGCAGTTGCTTTGTAAAAGTAAACTATTTAACCGAACAACCTACCGCAATATTTTTAATTTATATATGTAAACTTCAGGCAACCTTAGGCGGGAGATGTGCTCGCAAGCTCCGTTTTTCTGCTTGATGTTGACAAAGTCGTTTGATAAATTCGGTTGCAATCTCTGTGTATGTATTTAAACAAGAAAAAACATTTACCTTGATATTTTCACGTAGTCACTGAAGCTCCCCTCTGTGCTGAGTTCGTCTGGTTCGAAGTTTGCAGAAAATGCGAGAAGTCCGGGCAAAACTCTTTGGCGCCGTGTGCAAAACTCAGTGATGATGTAGACGGGCTTTTTTTTTTTTTTGTCTTAATCAGTCATGATTACTTGAACAGTTTAAAGCAAATCTACTCAAAATCAAACATAAGCGTATGAGTACTTATTATAAGTGAGTTAGTATATCACATTGTTAGTTTTGAACCGACATAACATAGTTTATAAAAGTAATTTAGACTTTTTAGCTGAACTGAGTAAAAATAACTTAATTCTTTTAGTGAGAAGCACCATTGGGTTTTACAGTGCATGTCACCTGTAGCCTTATAGACCCACTGGCTGGTTGTGATGTCACTGGTGACATCATGACCTTTTGCTTTTCTAGAGGAGCCATCATTTTAGTCCAGGCTTAAATCTTGTTCCAGCCCGGTTCAACATCTTACTCTCATTTGTTCACTTTCACTGAATTTTTATTTATTGGTTGTTTTGTTGTTTTATTTTCAGCTTAATTTCTATGTCATTCCACTGGCAGGAGATCAGAGCAGTGAAAGTCCCTCCCTGCATTTCATTTCAATTTAATTCAGTTTATTTATTAGCGGCAAATTCACAACACATGTCATCTCAACTGGGCTCAGGGTCCCAGAGTTGGGGCGACCAACAGTTTGTGTTTCTGTTTTTCTTTGTGTCTAACCCCCCCATGCTGGTGAACACTCTCAGTCATCCAGGTCAGAGTCATTCCTAAAAAGTAAAAAAAAAATAAAACACTGGACTTTGTTTCCCAAGTTATAAGACAAATAAAGTCCAGTGAATTATTTATTTTTGATGTTTTATTAAAAACGTGTAAAAATAAAATGTTCAGAAACAGGAGCGGCTATTTTGATCTCAGCGCTCACGTTTTGATTGGCGTTTCTCTCATTATGATTCTAATTTCTTTTCAGTATATTTTCCTGCTGTTGGATGGAAGCTGCAGCAGAAACGCTCCTCACGCGCCG